AGCGAGATACTGACGTAAGAACCCGATGAGAGAAGAATCCTAAAGGTGCGCGAGATACTAACGTAACAATCCGATGAGAGAAGATTCCTAAAGGTGTGCGAGATACTGACGTAACAATCCGATGAGAGAAGATTCCTAAAAGTGCGCGAGATACTGACGTAACAATCCGATGTAAGAGAATCCTAAATATGCGCGAGTTACTTTCGTATCAATCCGATGAGAAAGAATCCTAAAAGTGTGCAAGATACTAACACTAAACCCCGATGTAAGAGAATCCTATAAGTGTGCAAGTTGCTATCCAAGCAATCCGAGGAAAGTAAATCCTTAAAGTGCGCATGTTACTAACCTCAAAATCTGATGTAAGAGAAACCTAAATGTGCGGGAGTTATTATCGTAACAATTCAATGAAAGAGAATCATAAAAGTGCGCGAGTTACTATCGTATCAATCCGATGAGAGAGAATCCTTGACGTGCGCAATATACGAACGTTAAAATCTGATGTGAGAGAACCCTTAGTGTACGTAAGTTACGATTATAATAATCCGATGATAGAAAGTCCTTAAATCAGTGCGCAAGTTACTAAAGTTAAAATCTGATGTAAGAGAAACCTAAATGTGCGCGAGTTACTATCGTAACAATCCAATGAAAGAGAGTCCTATAAGTCCGCGAGTTACTATCGTATCAATCCGATGAGAGAGAATCCTAAACGTGCACTAGTTACTATCTTAAAAATTTTATACTATCGTATCAATCCGATGAGAGAGAATCCTTAAAGTGCGCAAGTCACTAACGTTAAAATCTGATGTTAGACAATCCTCGATGGACACGAGTTATTAACGTAAGAATCCATTTAAAGAGAAACCTAAATATGTTCGAGATACTTACATAACAATCCGATAAGAGAGAATCCTAAAAGTACGTGAGATACTAACGTAACAATCCGATGATTTAGAATCTTATGAGTGTGCGGGATAGTAACGTAACAATCTGATGGAAAGGAATCCTAAAAGTGCGCGAGATAATAACATAAAATCCAATGAAAGAGAATCCTAAAAGCACGCGAGTTACTATCGTATCAATCCGATGAGAGAGAATTCTAAATGTGCGCGAGTTACTATGATAACAATCCGATGCAAGAAAATCCTTACAGTGCGCAAGTTACTGACGTTAAAATGTGATGTAGGAGAATCCTAAATGTGCACGAGTTATTATTAATGTAACAATCCAATTAGAAAAACCTAGATGTGTGCGAGATACTTACATAACAATCCGATGAGAGAGAATCCTAAAAGTACGTGAGATACTAAAGTAACAATTCTATGAAAGAGAATCTTATGGGTGTGCGGGATAGTAATGTAACAATCCAATGAAAGAGAATCCTAAAAGTGCACGAGTTGCTATGGTATCAATGCGATGAGAGAGAATTCTAAAAATGCGCAAGATACTAACGTTAAAATCCGATGTAAGAGAATCCTAAATGTACGCGAGTTACTATCGATGCAGGAAAATCCTTAAAGTGCCCCAGTTGCTGGCATTAAAATCTGATGTAAGAGAAACTTAAATGTGCGCGAGTTACTATCGTAACAATCCGATGAAAGAAAATCCTTTCAGTGCGTAAGTTATTAACGTTAAAATCTGATGTAAGAGAATCCTAAATGTGCGCGAGTTATTAAGGTAACAATCCAATTAAAGAGAAACATAAATGTGTGCGAGATACTTACATAACAATTCGATGAGAGAGGATCCTAAAAGTACGCGAGATACTTACGTAACAATTCTATGAAAAGTAATGCTGAAAGTGCGTAGAATAGTGACGTAACAATTCGACGAAAAGGAATCCTAAAAGTGCGCGAGATGCTAACGTAACAATCCAATGAAAGAGAATCCTGAAAGTGTGCGAGCTACTATCGTAACAATCCGATGAAAGGAAATCCTTAGAGTGAGCAAATATACTAACTTTAAAATCCGATGTAAGAGAATCCTAAATGTGTGCGAGATACTAAAGTAACAATCCGATGAAAGAGAATCTTAAAAGTGCGCGAGATACTGACGTAACAATCTGGTGAAAGATAATGTTAGAAGTACGCAAGTTACTATCGTTACAATCCGATGCAAGAAAATCCTGAAAAAGCGCAAGATGCCACCCTTAAAATCCAATGTAAGAGAACCCTAAACGTGTGGGAGTTACTAACGTAACAATCCAATTCATGAGAAATGTAAATGTGCGCGAGATACTGACATAACAATCCGGTGAAAGAGAACCCATTGGATGATCATTATCAATCTTATAATTTTTCTCTAATCTCAGAACTTGAAGATAATTTGATAGGCTACACCGTTGCTATGGTAACTTGATAGATCAGATATATTGTCATAACATGCATGATAACGACGATGTATTTCTTTGACCTTGGTGAAACAGATAAAAGGTATTTATGGTTGAATCCATACATTAAACGAAAACTGCTGAAAACTGAAAGCCACCTGAATCAGAAATAGATCCAAGAAATCGCACAGTGAAATGTTAAATTAGTATGCAATTCTTCCTCATTATTGACTGAGTTACTTTCGAAAAACGTTCGCTAAATCCAGGTCAAGGTGTTCAACGCAGATGAATAGGCCATGGTAGCTAATTTATTATATAAAAAAGCATTATCTAACCTTGGTAGAAGTTGTCATGTATTTCTTTCCTTCCTTGAATTTCTTGATTTCAAAATGTTCTCATATTCTTCTTGATACTGCATGGAGAAAAAGAGAGAAATATAATGTGAATAAGTACATACCTGATTGCTTTTCATTATTCTGAATAACAAGGTCAACGTCAGGATCGAAATCTCATTTAGAGCCATCGCATTTTCTGCTGACGAGTTCAATGTCCTTTAATCTTATTAGACAAAGGTAATAGATAATTTATCGAAACCAGTTACTAACTAAGTAGAGAGGTTTTGCACAGCAGCCATGTTAGATGGCAGGAAAAATAGATTATATTACCCATGGGAAAAAGTTTTCTTTCTTCATGATGCAAAATATTTTCATTGTTCCTGCCATCCAACGTGGCTGCTGTGCAAAACCTCTATTCCTAAACAAAATGTGTGATTAATTTTCTTCAATTATTTATCGATTTTATCAGTTCCTCCATTCATAAGAATTACAAGGACGCTACTGTAATGATAGGACGAGGAATCAAATATTACGGATGCAAAATTGGAAATTTTGTGTTAGCATAAGCAAGAATGGAGAAAGAATACGATGAAGAGTTTAGATCAGCACATTACAATCAAAAAAGCTGATGGAAACGTATGTATAGAAATAAAGAGAAGTAAAAAGGTTAAAGTACATCAACAATAAAGTACGAATTTCTCGTGTTGCCACTAAAGTTACCTTCAATAAGAACTATCATGGCGGCCGTCGATGAGGATTCGTCCAAAACTGTGCTTTATGCGATGCGGTCTTCTTACATTTGACTCTGAGCATTTATTTTACAATTGTCACAACGAGAAAGACGACACTATACATGTTACTATCCAAAGATATCTTTCCGTAAGTTATTTACCTGAAGAAAACTCGTGTCTAAGTAAAAAGGCATGAATCCTCGACAGATATCCGAACCACTTGATCCAACATAAAGAATACTTCCCGACTTGGACACCACAGACAATATCCTCGGTAATAGGGCCGAAATAACGTGTTTCTCGACTACAAAGAAGCTTAAAAAGACATTCAACTCTCTTGTAGTTCGTAAGCTCTTTCCACGTGCAAGACTGAGCGCAAATAGGAATACTAATTTTGAAAATTATTTGTAATTTAAATGAGTTTTCCGACTTCAAATTAAGCGACACCGAGTTCTTTGGTTCAGTTAAACAACGAGGTAGCATGCCTCGATTCAAACAGATTTTCAACGTAGTCAAGTTTAATAGAGAGCTGCAAATAGTTTTGAAATTTATAAACATCAACTTGAACTTAGAACATTTTGCTTAGTTAGCATATTTTCTAGCCAGTACAGAAACAAAACCTGGTCCAAGATATTGGTGTAGTCGTATTTTTTTTCAGCGGATGTTCAACTTAAAGTTAAGCAAAACAATCACTGAAGGAATGGTATTCAGAAGGGCGGTGGCCGAAATTGAATTGCTATGATCGTCACTTATTGTTGAAAGATTTTGAGTAACGAAGAGGAAGGCCAAATACAGTTGTAGTCATTGTTCACTGGATAGGCTCCTGAACTCACGGTATGACTTACTTCACACCATGAGGTAAAAAAAAAAGAATACACCAAATTGAAATATGGCGTCCAACTTGAATTACCATTGTTCTGGACTTACTTGCCTCGTCTTCACGTGGAAAACGCAAAAGGATTATCACATGTGTGAGAGGCTAGTAAGTCCAGAACAATGGCAGTTCAAATTGGACGCCATATTTCGATTCGGTGTACGAGGTAAATGATAATAATTTTAACAAATGATAATAATTTTAACAGATTCAATACAAGTGCTTATGTAAGAGTAACATTCACGTGATGTTCTACATTGTAGTCTTCTCGGATGAAGACGTTTCCTGTACCATCTCCGTGCTTGTTGGCAGGGGACAGGAAAGAACCCACGTGACTCACGCACAGAGTAAGGAACGTAGCCTCCGGTGTTGTGGTCTGGCCCCGTTATTGCTTAAACAGGCCCCCATTTAAACAGCTTTAAAGATGAACAGGGCCAGCCAGTCTAAATATCGCAAATAAATAAGTAAATGAAAATGGTGCAGTCCTTATCTGGTTAACATGTCCATACAGTTTATTACATTTTGTTACATCTTATTAGTTACATTAAATAGATGAGCCAGTAAATCACTTGCGCTTTCGTACGTTCACTATGGTATAAATTAAAAAAACACATCACGTTCAGCTTTTACAAGATAGTTACACGCCAAGTAAACCTGTTTCAGAAAGATGAAAATAAAGATAAAATTATTATCATGATTCAAATTGTTTAAGAACTCAATTTTCTTCAATCAAAAGAGCAGTTCTGTCTTTGTCGTGCTAAGGTGGCTGGATACACTTTTCCAAAGCTACGACAGGCTTCATTCTGAGCCCTCAAAAACAAACTTTCCCCCTTCCTGCAGTGTAATCAAACTATTTTCACAAAACACATCTGCCATAGCTAGCGGTATCTTCTGCACTGTACATCTCCTGTTTGCAGTTTGCAGTCATTTATTTACTTTGATTTAGTTTTTGCATCAGGGCTGCCTTGTGCACCTGAGATGACAGTCTGTTGATTGACATCTTCATCCGCTCAATAACGTCACTGCTGGACACGGACGGCCTGGTTACCAAGTTCAGGGAAAGAACAAACAACTGATCCAGGCAGGCAACTGGCGCAAAGGTCATCACGTGACACAGATGTCCAAATACGGAAGCTGTTACCATCGCATTGGTCTGAAACGAAACAGAGACTACACTTCGCCATACCTCGCTATATCGGTGTCAGATACTAGAAAGTATCAAGAAAGCCACTGTGGTTCATTGGGTGAAATAAAACTAACAAGAATGACTTCATGATAGCGAATTCTGAAGTTTAACATATCTCAAGAGGCCGGAAAAAGCAAACTTCGAGGGAAAGGCACGACGATTCTTGACCGACTTTTATACTATACATTTCTTTATCAACTCTACTTTCTGGTTACATGTTGGAATAAAAAAAAACAAAACAATTAATCTATTATTTTTCATAAAAAATGACTTAGTAATTAATGTAATATGTTTTACTTACGTTTTCATTCACAGCTTCTTTTATTGCGGTGATGTAATGCTTGATGACGTAAAGCCACACATGAGGGGTGGCCCACGAACTACACGAGGGGCTACGAAGAGCTTCCATCATATCTAACAGCAACGAAGACAGTTCACACACATCTGAAAATAAATAAAGAAATAAAATACCTAATTGTCTTATCTCGAGGCTTCATCTTGATCAAATTCTAAACACAACTACAAAAGTTTCCTTTCAGAAATTAGCTTGGTTGAGGAACCGTAAAAATTGTTAGAACTGATTGAAATGAAATAGAATCCGTTGCGTAGAGCACTGATTATTACTAGGGGCGTAGCCAGCCTCTAGGCCCGAGCCTCCAATTTTTTCTTCCGCCGTTTGATAGTTTCATAACCTAACTCTTACAAACGTTGAAACAAAAATTTAACTTCCTTAGGGAACAGGCCTACGACAAGTCAATAAGCGGGCTCCGCCCTTGATTACGATTCCCTCTATTTGCGTTGGCGTATGAAATCAGAAGTCTATTGTTACAACTCGTGTAAGACTATTTACAAAAAACTATGAAAATAGAGTTAAAAATGTGTCTTTGTCTCTACTTACAACCACTTACTTTGATCATCATCTTCTGCTTCGAGGCAAGAAACACCATTGGAAGAACAAACCTGGCATAGGAATACAGAAAAATTACATACAAACGGTATGAAGCAACTCCAGCTTTGCCGGAGATTTAGCCTTTTAACGAAAACACTGGAGAAAAGCAGTTTACCCGCCTTGTGATCAAAACTAGTACCGGGTTTAATTATTCAGCATTCACTTAGACGATAGGATTATTCGACAGTATCCACTGAACACGGGGTGAATGATGGCAGGTCATGTATAAACAGCCAGGTGATCACTAAGAAGCTGCATTTTCTTCCCTAATTCAGGAACATCCAGAAAAACACGGCAGCGATTTTAAAACTACTGGTTAAATATTATAGCTGTTGAAAACTCAATCGGAGATCTAACGTGTGACAAAGTGGCGCAATTGGTTTTAATTTTAAGTTTTATCAGAGAGCAGTGGAGGTGTTTTCTTTACCAACCACAGAGCGACGTAAAGCAAAACCCATGAAATCACGGAGTACTTTCAACACTCAATCGTTTCGTTTCACGTTCACGCCGTTTCAATTCTTTAGGGGCAACTTTGCTTCCAACACAGCTCTTTCTGCACCTAAGTTTGTGTTGTGTCACAACGTCATGTGAAAAGATTTACCGGAAAAACACGTCTCTTGAGAAGGAACTGGCACACTGCAAGAATTCTGTTCCATTCTTTCCACGTGCAATGGGGAAGAATCTGCCATAGCATAAAAAAACAAAGCTTTTCAACAAGGGTCTAACTCTCATTTATCCTAGAATATAGTTAAAAATTGAACCACGAGTTCATTAGATCATATATCTAATGGAATTTGCGCTATAGAAATAATAAAATTATTAAATTATTGTTATTATGTTACTATCGCGGATCAACTATCGCCTATAGAAAGCTAGGGAATCATTTAATGGCGGCTAACGTATAAATCTACTAGCTAGTCGTTTCAAACTTAACAACAAAACAAGTTCAAGTTCTAATCTAATTTTGTTTACAAGCACACAATGTTAAGCAACTTAACCTATTCACTATCACGGAATAGATAGCGAGTAGCGCAGCCAATAAGATTGCAGCATTTACATATAATGCTCGTAGATCTATACTAAATACAAATAGTTATTCAAGGGTGGCGAGCGGTCACCGGAGGTGGTAACGTTTGCGTGGCTTTAATTTCTCGAGTATTAAAGGTAATCGTTTTGTTGGGATTCTAAAAGAAAAAAAAAAAGGAAACATAACAACGCTAGCCTTCTAACTTGAAGTCTGAAGAGCAAAGTGACTCGCATGGCTACGCGGGTTTATCACAGTTCTGAAGTACCAAGCAACTATTTTGACTGGCACTCTTCCTTAGTGGTCATCTGTTTCAATATAAATTTCCACCCAGCATTGCACAAGATATTAAATTGATTATTTAAGCATCCCTAACGGTATCTTGGTGTTTATTCACGTTCCTTTTGAAGAGTGGTACGTGTCTTACCCAAGAACGCAACACAATGAACCATACAGGGCTGAATTCAGGTTTTAAGATCAGCCAAGCACCTCATTAGCTAGCCAGCTACCCCGCCTTCCAAACTCTGACTCCACTAACACAACTGACAAGAAAATTCTATTCATACCTGCAGTAGGCTGGTCACTACTCTTATTCTAATGTCCTCCGGGTCACCGGGCAACTTATTTGACACAAATCTCTCCAAAACACACTCTAAAGCCGAGTCTGACACACGGCAGTATTCAAACAGAACTGTAAACACATCCTCAGGGCCTGAAAAAAAACAACAACAACAACAACAACAAAAAAACATGAAGTTCATTTAATAAAGTAAGGGAACATCGCAGTCCAAACGCCTTAAGAAGAAGTGGCTTTTCTTCCAAAGGTAGGTAGTTCATATTGTTTCTTTCTTCTTGCGCCACGAAACATTCAAAGGGAAATTCCTGACATAAAAAAAACTGAATGGTAATGTTTACCATTATCAAGTGAAACAGGTGGTGGACTCAAACGTCATGGCCATTTATGGCTTTGTACAGTATACGAGTGATGGTCAAATCAACACATGAGTGATTACTATCACGGGAAAACTCTTTGCTAAGTCTTCTTTCTATTAGCGAAGATGGAAGACATATTTACAAGCATGACGCCAAAATTCTGACCGTTGAGCCAACCTTTAGGGTTGCAGAGGGTAGTGCCCAGTAGTAGTATGCATCGAAACAAGCATTCCATTGCTAAGAAGTGGCAAAGTGTTAGTCTCACTCCCTATCAGAGACATGTGGAAAAAATCTAAGCCATCTGGATATTCCGAATGGGATTTGCCATGTCTTTTTTAACCATAAGGTCGTAGTAGTAGCAAGTATGATAAATATTGTAAGAAATAGACAACTTTTTGAGAGACATGTTTCGGCATGGTTATGCCATCTTCAATCAATGAGTAACTGAACGTGAGTAATTATATAACAGACAAGTAGATGAATAAAATATTTACAGTATGATGTAATACAAAAGCGGGTACTAATTACAACGTGACACCAAACATCAAAGGTGTGAACTAAAACGCTAGAAAAGTGTTATAATGCTGTAATTGTTTGTTAAGTTCAGGTTTGATCTTATTTATATAAAAAGCTTCTTTGAGTTTTAAATCAATTGAGTTGTTAGCAGAATCCAGAATACTAAAGCAAGAAAGGGAGTATACAGCATTACAACACTTTTCTAGCGTTTTAGTTCACATCTTTGATATTTGGTGTCATGTTGTAATTAGTACCCGCTTTTGTATTACATTATACTGTAAATATTTTATTCATCTACTTGTATGTTACATAATTACTCACGTTCAGTTACTCATTGATTGAAGATGGCTTAACATGTCTCTCAAAAAAGTTGTCTATTTCTTTTTTAACCATTGTGAAAGATTGTTGTCTCTATCTTGGGGAAATATGACATCATTTGCGAACTAAAAGAAATATAACCAGTTACCATAAGGTAAGTCTTTATCTACCGTCCACTTGTCTCCAGGCTCCCAACATACCATTAACAAGCACGGAGGAATAGACAGTTTGTACATTGTAGACGCTGCGATGAAGAGTTCTTCCAAATAAAGAGGATTTGTCCAGTCTGTCAACAGAAAATGTTCAGCATCAACAATGTTCATTCTCAAACCATAGAAAAAATATAAAAATATATCAAAATTTTGATAATTTTGAAGTCACTATGTGAAGCTTGGTTCTATGCTGTTATGTATATTTAATAATGTGTATTTCACAGTAACTTAAGATTTAAAAAGATTTTTAATTACCAAATCCATCTTTCATTCTCTTTAGCAGCCACCCTAAAGCTCTTGCAAATGAAGGGTTGATTTTTATAACCTCCAGACAGATTTTGATTTCAATGTCCAAAGCCTTCAGCACCAGTTCCTTTAACTCTTCCATCTCTATGAGAGAGTGTTCTGGGGCCATACTTTCCCAAAATGCATTGCAGTCATTAAGCAATTCACACAGGCAAAGGATGATGGTTAATGAATACTTTTTGAGGAAGAGTAGATCAACTGAGACAGAGACAGTTTCCATTGCTGTGTTAAGAAGTTTGAGGACAAGAGCTGCGGGAATGTTGTCATCCATGTTGCTGTTGTTCAAAAAGGGTAACACAACCGCTTGTATGAACTCCTGGACATCAAGTAGTTGTGTAGAGTTTGCCTTCAAGAAAAAATTTTGGGGAAAAAAAAGACAATAATCACTGTTATGTATTAAGTATGATGTCAAATGGTTCAGTTTCTGGCTGTCATAATCAAGCTGTCTAGGTGCTGGAGGGGGGGAGGCACAGGCAGGTGGTGATGATTAAGCCTGTCAGTGAAGGGACAAAGCAATGCTAAATAGCTGGTCTAGAGACTTTGCCTCACCTCACATTGTTGTTGACAAAGGGCTGCTTTTATGCAATACTAAAAAAAATGCCACCTTTATGGTAATATGGTGAAATCTAACACTCCAGCAAAACCCTCGTAAAATGTGAATCTCCAAAACCTGCTTTTTCCCCACACATCAACAAGGGGTGCTTTTAAACTAAAAAAAATGCCTCAGTGAAACCCTCAAAAAATGCAAATCTCCAAAACCTGCATTTTCCCACCCATAAAATTGCAAGTAATGAGGCTGACATAATTATAGATTTAAAATGCCATGCCAGCTCAATAACTGACTTCTTATTATGTGAGAATGTTATCTTGCAGATATATTACTGTGTGTTGGAAAAGTGATAATGAAAACTCCTGCACACCCTGAACAGTGGTTCCCAAGTGGGTACTCCTATCTGTTCTATTTGTGTAGTAAACTACTCACAGTCAACATGACAGCTACCATGTTCAGCAGGTTGCTCTCCTGTTGTCTTGACGACACATTCACTGTGGTTGCAAGAAGTGCCTGGCACAGTAATGTTCTTGAGGAAGAAGATTTGTTGTATTGCAATTGACACAAATTAGGAAATTTTTGTAATACCTGCAACACAACCACATCTTTATTAGTACTGAAAGACTGATCATGGAAACAATTACTATAATGATAAAATACACAATAACAGTTATTTAATAACAGATGTCAAATTAATCTGTTATAAGCACGAGAAGAAAAGATGTGGAGGTTTGGGTGTTTCTCAGAAAAATATTTGAAACAAAATCTTAAACGGCTGGCACAGAAAAATGAGTTCTTCCTGAGAGGAGCTAGTGAAGACGTTCCTCACTCTAACCTATTCATGGCTTAAGACACCAATCTGGTTTCTCAGGACAAACTATTTTATCTGTGGAGAAGCAGCTTATCTTAGAAACTTGTCAAATGGGTAAAGTGTTAGATTGGCCAAAGTTTAATCCTTCAATGGCTAGGGATGGTGAACAGGTACTGTAGCTTCTCATAATTTCCATACATCAAAAAACATCAAGTGGGCCATCAGAATTAACAAATGGTAAACACCACAGTGTACACTATTGAGTTATGGATGCATGCGGGAGGTTGCTAAGCACAAAAGAAGCGTAAGAGTCAGCAGCGTACACCCATGGGCAAATGGGGGACACTAAATTCACCAATCAGAGCGCGCGCTTTACTTTGGTAATATTATAATAAACAATCTCATCACCTAGATGGTCATTTCTGATGTAACACCAAATTCTCATGAATACTTTACAAAGTTTAGTATGTCAGCAAGAGGGAGAATCATGTATTTGTCAGAGAAGACAAGCGGGAATTCAGACATATTTTCAGCCCATCTTTGTAACACGAAACAGTCTCCACACTTTCAACTTACAGAGCAAATAGCCTTTGTGTGAGGGATACTCTTTACTCCTTCTTGTACAGCCTTGTTTAGAGTCAAGGGCACTGATATCAGAGCAGCTTTTGTTAAATCTTTTGTTGAGGACTTCAACTGACCATCAATGGCGATATCACAATCAATAACTTTATTGAAGGTCAATACAAGCTCAAGCTGAAAATTTACTGTCTCTTCTCCCATGAACCATGGGTGAAAAAAGATTGAGTCATTTTCAGGAGAAGGTAATGAGCTAGACATGAGGAAAGCATACTCTATGATCTGTTCTTCAGATGGGTGAGGCAGATTGGAATGCAGAGTCAACAAGATCTGAAAGAACAAAAGACAAAGAAAAGCTTTGAACTGGGACTCCCATAGAACTATCTCCTTTATGTGACCAACTTGTTTTTGTAACCACTTTTTATGACATAACCAAAAAAATTAAAGAAAAACTGAAGTTTTCTTACTCACTATACCATCTCTATAAGTCTTTCCACCCTAACATCAGTATGCATATTCTCCATACTGTTCTCTATACATTTCCTAAAGTGCTGACAAGGAGAATTTGTTCAACAATCAAGAGCTTCATCAATTGGTGATCACTTCATTATTCTTGTGACCTTCATGTGTGATTCAGGGATCGTATTGTAGGAAAAAATTAGATATGAATCACTCTTAGGGGATTAACCTGATCTTTTTGTCATCGTGACCAAGGTTTTATCACCCAGTGGGGAGTAAAGATATTCTGTAATTTCACTCCCAGAAGTGATCAAAAAAAAAAAAAATCCCTAAATTATCAATGATTACATTATCATGGTAAAAGGTGACTACAGAAAAAGGAGAAAAGCACCAACCAGGAGATATCATTTGTGCTAAAAATTATGACAAATGTATTTTCCATTCCCACTTTACTTCATGAAAGGAAAATTAAGTAAATTTAGCTCTGGGTAACACAGATTTCATGTCAGCCTTCAGAGAAGTTCTTAATGTTTGCTCCAATCCCCAAATGAATACCATGTTCTGAGTAAATTCATCAGAAATTCCAAGAAGCAGGGGGGGTTCAAAAGCTGAGTAATGAGCCATCCTCTGATGAAAATTCTTCTGCAGATGGGTCATGGAGAATATAAATATAGGAGTCTATGCGTAGGCACTTATTTTACATTCACTATCAATGTTGTTAACCATTTCACTCCCAGAAGTGATTAACCTGGCTGTAATCTCTCCCTATAATATCTAAACATTATCCCATGAAAAGGTAATGAGAATACTCAAGTTACTGTAGAAGTTGTTATCTTGATCCAAAATCAAATTCTTGTAACAAATTAACAAGGAAATTTGTGGCAGCTAGAGGGGCCGGAGAATAAACTATCAGATATTGGAAGTTAGGGAGTGTACCACCAAGTTTACCTCCTTCAGTTCTTTGTAAACCGTATCACTGCATGTGTTGTCAGCACAAAGACTCTGCCTTTGCATGTAGATGATGTCAATCATTTTAAGTGCGTGTTGCGCCTCACTTATTTCCACAGCATGGTTCCTCATGCATTCTAACCAATCAGAGTCTCCATGAAATTCCTCTGTACTCAACAGCCAATCAAAGCACTCTTTATAACCTTCTAATCTATTATTGACTCTTTGCAAATAGAAATGGAATTGCTCCTCTGTACTTTCGGCTTGAAACAGCAACAAATCTACAGATCCTGAAAGAAATGTATGCTGCTGGCATCAGATATATACCCAACTTTTAGACAAGAAATCTTTCACTCAGTTGTCTACTCACAAATATTTGAAACTCTTGAATGGAAAATGTTTTTTGTACTTACCAAGTGGAGAACTGAATTCCTCTTCAAAGCAACTTTCCTCAAAGCCAATCAACTCTCCCCGCTTAAAGCCGTCAATCCATTCAAGTTCTGCCTCTGTTGCATGCTTTTTCACATATTGTGCTAAACCAGTTTGCAGTTTTTCTGCCTGCTTGTGTAATATACCGTCATCAGTGCATGACTCAATGAACCAAGCCAAAGTATAAAGTTGAATCATCCATCTGTGTAGAGGAAGCCAAGAACTGGAGTCTAGCTCACCCATACTATTGTTGTTCACATTACCTTGAATCCAGTGAGAAACCTCACTCCAATCATTTATCATCCCTTGACATAAAAAGCTAATACAAGCAGTACATTCCCCTGAAACAACAACATCCAGACGAGCTTTGTGATTTCTAAAAGCCTCTGTCTCTTTGTTATGTTCTGATTTTTGGCCAAAAGTTTTTCTGTAATCATTAACTTTATCTTCCTCCATGGTAAAAGGTTGATGCTTGCAAGAAACATGATTTTGTAGCCAACAGATTCCACACAAAATATTTCCTTCTGTATTTGAACTATCTAGTTCAAAGTTCAAATGAGTAACCTCTGTAAAAACAAAGTCAATAACATTTTTCATCATATCAAGCTGTGCAGCTGGCCAGGCAACAAATTTCTTTCTAAGATGTGTCACACCTTCCAATAACAGCAGAGAGCAAGACTTTGCTTGGCATGTTTGATTCAGTTTATTATCCTCATGAACAGATGCACGATGAAAGCTTCTTGACACGAGCAGAGAATTGAAAAGACAGAGGAAAAGAGAGAGATCCTCAGAACTGGGTTCTTGAATAAGGTCTTTGATGATATCCTCTAAAAGAGAAGTTGTATCATATCCATCAAATCCACAAAGACACTGCAATAATAGAAAGAGAAATGGATTATCAAAATTTTAATGAAACATCAATACCAAAAAGACCAAAATTGGGGCATCCATGGTAGAATCTTTGGCCTTTTAAGCCTTCAACCCTAACATCATAATAAATAATTAAACAGCAGAATTTGTTTAACAATCAAGAGCTCATTTGGTTGGTGATTATAAGCAATTATTGGATGAGGTTGAGCATGATATCATGTATTCTTAATGCCGAGGTCTGAGGTGCATGCATCTGCCAAAGCCAAAGACTAAGGCAGATAACAAAGACACAAGGTTTGATAGTTCACGATACCATGCAAAAACCAAATTCAGCATTTGTTTTATTATATGTTTTTTATGCAATCTGAAAAGGAACACACTTCTGTCTGAGTTGGCAAAAGTTTGAGAACACTGCATGGACAAGGAGCTTGGAAACTTGGAAGACTTTAAACTTGACATGATAACCAATGTTTGCTGCAGATATTATATTTATCATGTCAATTTCACTAGGTGTTGCACATTGACTAAGTGCTCTTGAACAATCAGAAATTTTGTGGTTACTCTAGATAATGTATAATAAATATATCTTATAAGACATTTTGTTGCGTAGTATCGCTGAGTATTTTGAGTTGTGCTCTATTTTGATTAGTCCTATGACATATGTCATCCTCTCATGAAAATATTCTAGAGTTGTGCTGTATTTTGACGAGCACATAGAGCGAGTCAAATACAAACAATGAGTAAAAATACTCAGGGATACTACACAACAAAACATCCAATAAGAGATTTATAATCCAACATGCCAAATTGTTATTTCAGTGCAGGCAAATTTTGTGGATTTCTGGAGTAAAAATATCGCGTGATATTTGTACTTGTCTCGCGTGTTATTGATACTCTACAAAGCACAATACAATTGGATAATAATTTCCCTTATTACCCTATTCCTTTTCCCTCGTTACCCTACTGTTTGATTCAGGGGTGTTATTGTGAGGAGAAATTAGATCCTAGTCAATCTTAGGGGGTCACTCTTGAACAGTTAGGGTACTCTTGAAAACCTCAAATAGTCTTGGAAATCTGAAATTATAGAGAGCAGGCAGACTGTTATCTATACTTTTCGATGCCTCCAAAACAAATTATGTGATTCCTTCGGCGTACTTTTTCATCAACATTGGTACGGGTGTAGATGATCCATCGAAATAGAGTGATGAGATTAAACCCAACCGTAGTACAAAAAGTTATTCGCACGAAGGTAACAAACAGTTTGTTTTTCGGAAAAATGCAGGATGGTTGCCTTAAAAAATAACTTCCATCGTACCTCAACTAAAAGCTCATTCCATCCCACTTCTTGTAGCAGCTCTAAATAAAACCCGACACCCATCCCTGGAAGTGGAGGGAAACTGTCAAAATATTCTTCTTCGCGCGAATCGTCGAATTTAAGACCACCATATGCTTTAACCAGTGAAGCAAATATCCAAGAGTGAATCTTAAACTCAAGTGTTCTGACTTCAACTGGAAGCAACCTGCCTTTGTCGTCAACAAGCAATTCTCCAGTTATTTCTTTGATGGCCCTGGAAACGATCTGTACTGCTCTGGTACCCTTGCCTTTCTCCAACTTAGTCAAACTTTGCAAGCTTTCAGCAAGGAAAAATGCAGAGTGCACTATTACCGTCTCTGGGCAGTAATTCATATCTGTAATATGAAAACTAACCCAACCTAGAATTCACCTCATTCTGTCGGGAAAAAAAAATTGCATGAGGGTACGCAACGCACACACATTTTGAGCTAAATATGTTGTGTCAGGGTCACGAAAAATTACAGGACATCTCAAATGAGCATACATGCTATACAAAATGACATGGACTGTTTCCTGCGGAAAATGTCAACATAAGTCAGCTTGATGATGTTTTACGATTTGTATATCCCCATGAAAGCTTGCTTTATCCAGAACTGAGAATGCTACCATGCGATATCGGTGAAATTTTACGGGAACATCCCCCGCACGACGTCGTTTATGACTGTCCAATTATTGAAAAAAAAAAAAAAAAGTAGCAGGCACGAGAAGTAAACAAGTCATGCCTGATACTCAACGTGTAAGTAACATTGTCCCGTTACTAGACTGCGAGCTGTCCCTTTTTTCTTTTCATGGATTTCTTGGATTCACGCGGTGGATTTCGCCGAAAAGAAGGGACTGCTCGTAGTCTAGCCCCATGCATACACTTGATAGGTTCGTTATTTAACGAGCCCTGGCAAACGAGGCCGTCCGCCGTTTGTCTGAGGGTGCAATCGGGCGTTCAGCATATGTCGGAGGAAACATTTCACAGTTCCCTTTCGCCTACGTTCCTGCGTTACTGCGCGACTAGAATTTATTATCAATCTCCTCTTAACTGGGAACAATTTTTTCATATAGGTGTAATCAACGAGAGAGGAAACTGCTCACATAACATTGATAAGTTTACAAAACATGTTTCGACATTATTCATGACGTCCTCGCATGAAAATATTCTAAACCATTAAAAAGAGCCAAGCAGGCCCCATTCAAACCAGCTTGAAGCTGAACTGGACCAGCCTACATAAATTTTGCTAATGAATAAATAAAAAGATAATCCCCTCTTCACCAGAACGATTTTTTACCTATTCGATGGGTAGCCATCTAATTTATTGACCATCTTGTTTTCTTTTTATTTTGATTAGCTGTACATCGTTGCCCTGAGGTTGCTCTCGGGTCAGAGGGGACTTTGCTGTTAGAAATGGTTACGTGTAAGATTTCAATGGATAGCCGAATCTTGTAAAAAACGTTCAAGTTCTTGTGTATCTTGATATGGGAAGGAGAAAATAAATGAGACAAGAGGAAAATTTTTTCATATGAAAAGGAGGAAATAAATACGAGACAAGAGAAAAATGTTTCAATTTGAAATACCAGCTGGCTAACAAGGAAGAGTGGGTGCATATAGAAGCGAGCGCCACGTAACGTTTGAGGTATATTCCAAACCATTCGGCAAACATCAGTCGTGAGAGCTCGTGGTTTATTCAGCAGTTTTTTTTCGGCCAACTGAAATGATTATACTTCAACTTGCGATAACGCTTTAAATTATCTTGATCAGCTTGAGCTCCTAGACAGGTATTGTATTAATTTACTTTGGTCTCAGACAGATCTGCTTCTGCATGTTTCTTAATTGCGAGACATCCTTTTGAAATTTTTCTCCTTTTTGCGCTTCTCTTAAGTAAATTTTCTTCATGTCTTGTTTACTCCATCTTTTTATTTCACAATTAGGCATGCGAGATCGAACAACACAAGTAGCTCCTTAATCATTCAGAACTCGTTTTCTCTTGATTTTGATTAACTGAACATTACTTCCTTGAGGCTGCTTTCGGTTCAAATGAGACTTAGCTATTAGAAATGGCTGTGTGTAAGATTTCAGTGGACGACTGAATCTTATGAAATACCTCTAAGTTCCTGTGTATCACGAAAAGGAAAGGAGAAAAAAAATGAGACAAAAGAATAATGTTTCAATTTGAAATACCAGTTGGCTTAAATTTTTACAATGATTCGTGGCATGATGCGTAACAAGTACTTACAAGGAAGAGTCGGTGCATATAAAAGCGAGCGCCACGTAACGCTTGTGGCATACTCCAAACCATTCGACAGACATCAGTCCCGAGAGCTCGTGGTTTATTCAGCAGTCTTTTTCAGGCGATCGAAATGATCATACTTTATCTTGCGATAACGCTTTATATCACCTTGATCAGCTTGAGCTCCTTTACAGGTATTGTACCAATTCACTTTGGTCACAGACTGGTCTCGGCTTCTGTCTCATTATGGATAATTTTTCTGAAATTTTTCTCCGTCTCTCCCTTCTCTTTAAATTTTTTTCATGTCTTGATAACTCTATCTTTTTTTTTTACAATTAGGCATGCGGGATTGAACAACACAAGTAGCTTCTAAATGATTCAAAACTCGCTTGCTCGTTTAATTTTTTCAGCGATTATTCTTGCTCATTCTACAGAGGTCTGCTGAAATTCTTCACCATCATATCGAAAGCTAGTTTCAAGAAAATCTTATCCTTAATAAATTTCGTTGTCTTGCAATTTTATTTCATTCAAAGGAAAAGGAGGGAAGTTAAGTTACTGCTACAGATTTTTCTTCGTACTCCTAATGAATCCATTAAAAAAAATCGATCGCAACCTCAAAAGAGATGAAGAACCGGCATTCCCGTTTTTTCCTTAGTAGCCTCGAGCAGTTTAGGCTGCAGTCACCACCCCAGAGATCCATATAGTCCTGCGCTCCAAGTGGATCTGAAGAAAAATAAAGTCTACAATAATGACGCCAACATCGTTTGGGTGAACTAGTTGAAGGCAACTAGTTCACCCAAACTAGGTCTCTATATTGTGACGTCACGTGGTTATCAAATTTGATAACGACCTGGACTGTATAGTACCGTGATGTTTACTGTCATTTATCATGACACTGTCTGACGCGTTGGAAGTTTCTTTAGAAAAACTGTTGTCATCTAGTGTCCTTATAGTCTCCTTCGCAGCCGCTCGGGCCGGAGTCACGCAACGCCGGCCCGAGCGGCTGCGAAGGAGACTAGTGTCCTTAGGATGTGCCAGAGTTTGGAAGTGAGAACTTAAAATTCTAATCGAATTAATCAATTTTGATTAGGTAATTAATCAATTAAAAGTAATTAATCAAAGTTAATTGTTTAACGCGTTTTTATTAAATTGAATTTGTAATTACCTCCAATTTACAGGAAAGCTTCGAATAAGATTTGACCAAAGAAGTGGCTTCAAACGAACTGCCAGAATTGACCTGTGGTTCGCGCGTAAAGTGACAGGATTCTCGTTTGATATTGGCGACTCGCCCACAGTCAATGGATGGGGTAAGGGAAGATTCTTGATTACGAGAACTGGCATGTCGCTGTAAGGGAGTAAAGCATCTTGTCTAAAACATTAAGAGAGCTTACGTTTTCAGCCTTTTAACAGAGAGGGATGAGGACAAGATGCTCTTAAATTCAACGATCTATTAGATTCTATGTACCTAGTCCAACATGTTAAAGGTTCTACTCACCGAGGTAACCATACCCTCGATTTGATTATCACTAGAAGGGAAGAAGAATTAATAGCTAATGTCCAATTCCTTGTTTGAACCGTCACTGGATGCCTTGATGTCTCTATATAATAGAGACCTTAAAGATATCTACGATACTGCGGCACCAATTCAGTCTAGATGGATTAGACAATGTTCCCATGCACCATGGTATAATCAAGATCTACGGCAAGTCAAACGTGAAAAACGTCGACTGGAGCGCCAAATTTAAAAAATCCAGCCTGGTAGTTGATCAACAAAATTTCGAATCAAAATGTGTTGAATATATTTCTTTAATTGAAACAACAAAGATGCACTTCTATAAATCTCGGATAGAACAGACCGATCGGAATCAGCTCTTCAGACTTATTGACGGCTTCTTCAAGATAAGGAACACTGCGTTGCCTACTTATGACTCTCTTAAACAACTTACTGAAGATTTTAACAACTTTTTTATAAACAAGATAAGAGACATACGTAAGGAACTATCCGACCTTTCGAACAACACCCAGCTACTTCATAATATGGAAAAAATAAATATTCACTGTGAGCTCTCTAAATTCATTCCACCATCAAACAAGGATACAAAAGACGTTATAATATCATTCTCGAACAAGACCTACCCTCTTGATCCGATTCCAACACATATCATTAAAGATAACATAAACTTATTATTACCTCTTATCAGCAGAATCGTTAGACAATCCGTTGAAACTGGAGTCTTCCCAACTCTTTGAAAACCTCACTGGTTCGTCCGAAACTGAAGAAATCTAATCCGCTCGAGCCTGATTTGTTTGCCAATTACAGACCCATAGCCAATATTCCATTTGTCTCTAAGATAATTGAAAAGTCAGTTGCCATTCAAGTTCAAAATTACCTGAACTACCATGGACTATTTCCTTCCTTACAATCTGCACACAGGAAACATCACTCAACAGAATCTGCTCTACTTAGAGTTAGTAATGATATTTTTAGGACACTTGACTCTCAAGGCGAAGTACTTCTGGTTCTACTTGATCTATCAGCAGCGTTCGATACCATAGACCACGATCTTCTGCTCACGAGACTTAGGACATACTTTAACTTCACTGGAACTGTTCTTCAATGGTTCTCCTCGTACCTACTTGATCGCTTCCAGCAAGTGAATATTCGTGATTCTACATCCTCGCCGCGATGCTTAGAATATGGAGTACCTCAGGGCTCGATACTTGGCCCATTACTCTTTACTCTCTACCTGGCACCTCTTCAAGATGTTATACTTACTCGTGACTTAAATTGTTTGTTCTACGCCGACGACACCCAAATCTACATCACTATTAAAGATCCTGTGCATTCTGCCGAGTCTGTAAATATTCTTCAAGCATGTGTAAATGATGTTTTTGCATGGTACACTCAGAACATGCTGAAGAGCAATCCAGATAAAACTGAAATTCTGCATTTCACCTCCCGGTTCAAGAAGCAACCGTCATTGTTGGAGACCGTAACATTAGCAAATAGTGAAATAGGAATCAAAAGAAAAACTACGAATCTAGGCGTGTAATGGATAAAAATCTATCTTTTAACGACCATATCAATGAAACATGCAAAAAAGCCACTTTTGCTATAAGATCCATTTGACGCATCCGTCGATACCTTCCCAATGATGCGTTGAAGATGCTAGTCAACTCCCTTGTAATTTCTAGACTAGACTATTGTAATAGCATTCTATATGGGATACCAAAGTATCAAAGGGACAAACTACAGAGGATCCAGAATATCGCTTCTCGTATGATAACCGGAACACGAAACACTGACCATATCACACCTATTTTAAAGAATCTACATTGGCTGCCAATCGAAGCAAGAGTTAATTTTAAGATATTACTTATAACTTATAAGATCTTAAATGAGCAATCTACTAGTTATTTAGAACCT